AACCTTTTCCTTCAATGAAATCCTACCTCTTTGCCCGCCAAATAAAAGAAGCTAAAATACGGCCTCCCTCTAACACCCTCCACCATTCCCTGGTGCCTCTGGGGCGGTGGGCGTCCCCAGTTCTCACCGCACTTGTCAAGCATGGAGGCAGGGCAATAAAGGAGGATCTCTATGGATCTCCATCACGCCCTCAGATACAAGGAAGCTGAGTCTGCCATATGCTTGGTCAGTGCCAGATCTACTCCCATTTCACACATTCAAGGCTGAAATGTTTTATACAAGGTCTCCAGCCTTGGATTGGACACTACCCTGTACTTGTCAGTTACCTCAATAAGAGAAAGAGATGCTGATGTCCCTGGGTCTTTGTCTTTGCAGCTTCAAGGATGGGACCCTGAGTGTCAACCCAACGAGCGAGTGATGCATCAGGATCTGAACTTGATATGGATAAACTAGCAAAACTCCACACTGACATTCTGATTCAAATGAGTCCCTATTAAATCTCAGCTGCCTTTTTTGCAAAAATTGACAAGCTGGTCCTAAAATTCATATGAGGACCCCGAACAGCCAAAACAATCACGAAAAAGGACAAAGCGAGAAGACGCATACTTCTTGATCTCAAAAGTTACTACAAAGCTGCAGTAACTAAGACAGTGGTACTGGCATAAAGATTTACATACAGGTCAATGCAACAGAATGAAGAGGGCAGAAACAAACACTTACATTTATGGCTAATTGATTTTCAACAAGGCTGCCCTTTCAACAAATGGCTCTGGGACAACAGGATCTCCACATGCAAAACAGTGAGGCCGTACCTCTACTTCACACCACATATAAAAATTAACCCAAACTGGATCAAAGCCCTAAACCTAAGGACTAAAAACTATAAAACTCTTAGGAGAAAATTTCAGCATAAATCTTCATGCTTTATGCTTTTTGGTGTTATACTTAAGAAACATTTAGGGACGCCTGGGTGGCTCAATCGGCTAAGCGTCCGACTTCAGCTCAGGTCACGATCTCGCAGTTCGTGAGTTCGAGCCCCGCGTCAGGCTCTGGGCTGACAGCTCAGAGCCTGGAGCCTGTTTCGGATTCTGTGTCTCCCTCTCTGACCCTCCCCCATTCATGCTCTATCTCTCTCTGTCTCAAAAATAAATAAACGGTAAAAAAAATTTAAAAATAAGAGAAACATTTACACCAAAAGCATAAGCAACACAATAAAAATAGATAAATTGGACTTCACCACACTTAAAATCCTAGGCTTCAAGGAACACAACCAAGAAAATAAAAAGACAATCCACAGGAGAAAATATTTAAAAATCATATATCTGATAAGGGACTGAATTTAGAATATATAAAGAACCCTTACAAATCAATAATAAAAAGACAAACCAACTTTTAAAAATTGGCAAAAGATCTGGAAAGACACTTCTCCAAAGTGAAAAGATATTCAACCAACACAATGTTAAAGAAGAACAAAGTTAGAAGACTGCAATTTCCTGACTTCAACACTTATTACAAAGCTACAATAATCAAGACAGTGTACTATTAGCAAAATAATAGACAAATAGACCAATGGAAAAAAATAGCCCATAAATATAGTCAGCTCATCTCTAACAAAGGAGCAAAGGCAAAACAATGGAGCAAAGATAATCTTTTCAACAAATGGTGCTGGAATAAGTGGATATCCACATGCAAAACAATGAATCTAAACACAGACCTTATGCCCTTTGCAAAAATTAACTCAAAATGGATCAGAGACCTAAATATAAAATGCAAAACTATAAAACTCCTGGAAGATAACATTGGATAAAACCTAGCTGACCTTGGCTATGGTGATGCTTTTTCAGCTATGATGCCAAAAACACAATCCATGAAAGAAATAATTGATAAGCTGGACTTCACTAAAATTTAAAATTTCTGCTCTGCAACAGATAATCCCAGGAGAATTAGAAGACACACCACAGACTAGGAAAAAATATTTGTGAAAGATATATTTGATAAAGGACTGTTATCCAAAACATGCAAAGAGCTCTTAAACTTCAACAATAAGAAAACAAACAACCTGATCTGAAAATGAGCCAAAGACCATAATAGCCACCTCACCAAAGAAGACATACAGATGACAAGTAAACATATGAAAAGATGCTCCTCCACATCATATGTCATCAGGGAAATGCAAATTAAAACAATGAGGATACCACCCCACACCTATTAGAAAGGCCCAAATCTAAAACACTGACCATACCAAACGCTGACCAAGGATGTAAAGTAACAGAAACTCTTTCATTCATTGTTGCGGGGGATGCAAAATGGTACAGCCACTTTGGAAGACAGTTTGGAGGGTTTCTTACAAAACTACATATACTCTTACCATACAATCCAGTATTTACCCTAAGGGGTTGAAAACTTATGTCTACACAAAAACCTGCACATGAATATTTAAAGCAGCTTTATTCATAACTGCCCAAACTGAGAAGCAACCAAAATGCTCTTCAGTAGGTGAATGGATAGACTTGGTACATCCAGATGATGAAATACTAAGCAGCACTAAAAACAAATGAGCTATCAAGCCATGAAAAGACAGGGAGAAACTTCAAATGCATGTTACTAAGTGAAAGAAACCAATTGCTACATTCTGTCTGATCCCAATTATATGACATTTTAAAAAAGGGGAAACTGTGGAGACAATAAAAAGCTCAGTGGTTGTAGGGGGCAGGAGGGTAGAGATGAATAGGCAGAGCAGAGAGGATTCTTGGGGCAGTGAAAATACTCTGTATGATATTATCATTGTGTTTATAATTATCATTATACATTGGTCCAAACCCACTGAAAGTACAGCACCACAAGTGAACACTTAGATAAACTATGGGCCTTAGATGACCATGATGTGTCAATGTAGGTTCATTCTTGGTACCAAAAGTACCATTCTGGCGAATGATGTTCATAAATGGTAGAGGCTACGGATGTGTGGGAACAGGAAGTAGAAAGGAAATCTCTGTACTTTCCTTTCGATTTTATTATTTAAAAAACAAAACTAAACTAAAACTGCTCTAAAAAATTAAAAAAAAAAAAAGATGTTCGGAGTACTTGGGTGGTCAGTTGGTTGAGCGACTGACTTCAGCTCAGGTCATGATCTCACAGTTTACGAGTTCAAGCCCCATGTTGGGCTCTCTGCTGTCAGTACAGAGCCCGCTTCAGATCATCTGTCCCCCTCTCTCTCTGCCTCTCCACCGCTCACATGCTCTCTCTCAAAAAAAAAAATTAAAAAAAAATTCAACACTACTAGCTATAGGGAAATGAAAATCAAAACCACAATGATACCACTTTATATGTACTAGGATGGCAATAATAAAAAAAGATGGACAGTAACAAGTGTTGATGAGGAGGTGGAGTAATCAGAACCCTCAAACACTACTAGTGGGATTGCAAAATGGTGCTGCCATTTTGGAAAACAGTTTGGCAGTCCTCCAAAATGTAAACATAGAGTTACCATATGACCCGCAATCCCACTGGAGGTATATACCCAAGAGAACTGAAAACATATGTCCATACAAACTTGTACTCTCCTCTCTTGGTGGGGGGGTGTGAAAAGAGAGGAAATGCATATGAACAGAGAAAGTGCTCTTGGACATGTGGTCAAATGAGGTAAATCTCATTGGAGAACAATACATATAAAATGAGCCCATTATGTTGGTTTTTAAAGATATGCACTGGTACACACACCTGTACATCAAAACATAAGAAAAATATACAGTCAGCTGACCATAAATGTTCTCTCTGGAAGCAAGCCAGGGATGGGGGAGGCACAATTTAATTTTTTACTCTACAATTTCTGATTTGTTTGCATTTGTATATGTAAAGAATATAACCAGCCTTTCTTGTACAAAAGAGCATTTCTTTTTCTAGTCAAAGGGGAAGGAAAGAGGGAAAGGCCATTGGAGCTGGGCAGTGTGGGAGATTCTGAATGTGGATAAGAGTGAAAGAGCACTCCCAGTAGTAGGAACAGTGGATGCAAAGCTGTTAACGTTGAAAAGCCTCTGGGGTATTTGGGGGGCTGTTGGGTTCAGCTCCATTGGAGGGTCTAGCAGGTGACCTGGAATGGGGTGTGGTGACGATACACCAGAACAGTCCATTGAAGCAGCCAGGTTCTGAGGGTCATGGGTACATGGAAGCCACCACTGTAGGGGGAGGCCTGGGAGAGACCACAGGAGGGGAGGGCATCTCATGGCATTTCACACCTGACCTCTGTCTCACAATAAATTTACCCTCAACTCCACTATCCGGATTTGGCTCCTAATATAATTGTCTCCAGAAAGGATAGCACCTGTCCCTGAAGAGGTCCCCAAATCTGAATGAAGAACTCTCTGTGTGTTTGAGCAAACCTTTCAGAGCACAAAGTAGTGACGGAGTAATGTGTGTCCGTTTTAGGTCACCAGATAATGACCACAGCCAGCCCTTCCTGCACAGAGGCTGTGATAGGAATATGCTCTCTGCACATATCTTCTCATTTAATCCCCACAGCAAACCCATAAGGTACAGCCAACCACTGTCCCCATTCACAGAGGAGGAAACCAAGGCTTGCAGAGGTTAGGCACCTTGCCTGAGGTCACTTTGCTACTAATGCAATGCTGGAGCTGAGACTGGAACACAGGACCCCAACCATCACCTCCACCACCTCCGGACATGTCAATTTGCCTTCAAGTCGGCCACTGCCCTGCATCACCACCCCAGCTTCCAGGAAAACAGTAAGCTCAGAATTGAAGATGAATTCAGGGCTTGGGGTTCTATCAGCAGGAGCAGCAAACCCCAACCTATAAAGTTATCATATGCTGGGTGGAAGTAGAGGTGGCAGATTGGACAAAGAACTAAGTTGGACTGTTAAATAACTAGTTTGATCTTTAGCTAGCTGAAACACAAGGCACCAAACTGCCTCCTTTGTCTTTCAGCTCCGGCCAAGGACCCCAGCCTCTCTTTCTGGAGCACTCAGCTTTGACTTGGGTCCCATGTCCAGCTCTGTCCTGACTTGCGGGTCCACTTTAGAAAAGTCAGGAGACTCCTGGGGAAATAAGGCAATGGCCTCCTCCAGTCTCATTGCTCCGTGGCCACCAGAGACCCTGGGGATCCACTTAACACCGCAACAAATCCTCACCATGCCAGAGACTGGGCGGTTGGCCGGGAGCAGCCTTTGCAATCCCAGAGCTGACATTCCACAGCGCTGTGCACCAAAGCAAGGCCTGTTAGTGATATTTAAAAGCATCTCTCTCTCTTGACATCACTGAATCAATCTTCTGGGAAGATCCCCCTCATCTCCACCTTCCCTGATACAACTGAACAGAGTTCAAGAAAGACACAGTTGGCAAGTTATTCCACTTCCCCCCTTGCTTTCTTGGCCAGGAAGATGGGGATGCTAAGAGGGCATGTGCCACAGGACAGTTTTAGATAATACATGAGGATGTCAGTGTAGAGCCCAATAGCACAAGGCACGGCCTTTCACATCAACTGGCATTTACTGAGCACTGGTATGTCAGTTCCTTTTCCACAGAATACTCACAGAAAACATATGTGCACACATGCTGCCATAACCAATGAGGATCTGGCATCATCTGAGAGCTGGTACCTCTTTATCTGGACCTTTGCACATGCTCTTCCCTCTTCCTTCCATCCCCCACCCCCCGCCACTCCCCAAGAGAAGTGACTTGTAGCCATCCCTTTCTTTTCTTAGATATCACTTTTTCCAAGAACCCTCCCTGTCATACCTCCTTTATGCTTTGTTAAATAACATCAAATGACCAACCAATCAACCACTCAATGGGGAGAATGGGAAGCATACATCTCCTGGTCTATGATCCTATACATTTTCATCACTTCGTTTTTTTCCATCAAAGCTTTGCTAAGTAACTACTTTCCTTCTAGATGGTTCCCTGTAGGTGATGAGATGTTTGTAACCAAATGGCACAAAAGAGGAGGCAGTCCATGGCGAGGGCAGGTGAAATGAAGCAAGTCTTACTACGTGTAGGTTTGTACTTCTAGCAGTGCCCCCCCAAGGCTTATACTCGTCACCCAGGTGGCAGTTTCAGGAAACACCATTACTCCAGGTGCCTCTGGAAAGGAAGGCACAAGCCTTCTGGTCAACCATGAGAGCACACAGTGTTGAGATCTTACGCCAGCCACCTGCTAGGATCTGGGGAGGAGGTGATGGAGGTTCTGCCCACAATGTCTCATTTCCCCTCCCCCTTCCCCAGTGAGACAGACCATGTCCAGGGCTCAAGAGCTGACTGGTCAAGCCAGGAATTCAACCACAACCTTGGGGTCCACATGCATAGAATTGTCTTCCCCCAGATAGCCACACCCCACATTCATCTAGGTTTCTGTTTGAATTGCTTCCTCAGAGAAACCATCCCTGACCTAAACCAATGCTGCCTCCACCCCACTCACTCTGGGTGAGTGGATCCCATCCAGCTTCATCTTGTTTATTACACTGAACACACTCCCTGATATCATATCATAGACCTAGTTGTCGACTGTCCATCTCTGCCCACGGGATGTAACACCATAATGGAGGAACACTGCCAGTCTTGACTGCTCTGTGGCCAGTCTCCAAGCCCTACCTCCATAAATGGTTCTTGAATAAATGGAGTGAATGAGCTGAGCTAAGGGGATAAGGCACATGTGCAGATAGGATTCCAAATAACTATAATCTTCGATCTTTGTTTTTACAAAAAAGTGTACCCATTTTCATAACTGAATGAACAGTTTTCACTACAGTGAAGAAGAAGGCAAAGCTTATCTCCAAACCTCTCCACAGAAGACCCCACTCCACCCACCACACCGGCGATCTCCCACGCAGGAATGTGCATTAATTAGATCATATATACAAGCGTTTCATTGTCACTCAAGTTTCAACCTGTGCAAAGTGCAAAGTGATATGAATCAGACAATATTTGTATACACCACTAAGATAATGCATCCAAGGATTAATTTTTTTAATTAATTAAACCTGGCTGGCTTGGTCAGAAGAGCGTGTGACTTTTGATCTCTGGGTTGTGAGTTTGAGGCCCATGTTGGGCGTACAGCCTACTTAAGAAAAACAAAACAAAAAAAAAGCTCTTACTCACCTCACTTCACTCAGGGGATGCTCATTCATTCTGTCACTAAGGAACATTTATAAAGCATCTACTGTGTGTCAGGGGCCAGAGTTCAGTGGTAAAGAGGGCAATACCTCTACACTCTTGGAGTCTGCATTCTCCTGTGTGGAGGCAGACAATAAACCCATAAATAGATACATGACTATGAACATTTCAGGTACGCTCCATGAATAAAATACAATGGGAGAATGTGATCAATACTGATGGGGGAGGGGCTGCTTTGAACAGAGTGGTCAAGGAAACCATCTCTATAGAGAAGACATCCAAGCTAAAGGACAAGATACTGCCGGACATGAGAAGAGTGGTAGAAGGGTGTGTTCCGCGACAGGAAGAGCATGTGCAAAGGCCCTGAGGAGTCTCCTGACAACTTGAAATCAAATTTTATGAACTGCATCCCATCCTAAGAGCCCCACGACAGGCCAACAATCTCTGCTCCTTCAGCTTGCCTTCTCCTTTCCCCAATTGACTTCTTTATCAGATTTTCTCAAGTCAAGACAGACTTGAATTTTCCACTGGAAGGTGTGCCCTGAGTAAGAGCACAAAGGAACACGTGTACGCTTCTACCTCTAGGAGACACAGGTAATGTTGACATCTTGACACCATAAGAACTTGGGCCTGCTCCTGTACAAGAGGTAAGAATGTCCCCACCAGCAATTCAGGATCCCCTTTTGTGGGGTGCAGGCTTTTTGCAGAAAATGATGAAGAGAGAACTCTCTGGAAAAATACACACCTGTGCTCCAAGCATCTCATGTACGTGTCAGAAGATTCCTGGAGCCCCAGGCTCAGGACTCCCATCTGTGGTTACTACCACCAAAAGATGCTAAACTGGTGCAGGCTCCACTGGAGGGACAATTTGCTAGAGGTTAGTGAGTGGAGTGGAGGGGAGGGGACAAGAGCAGGTCTTTGGGCCCCTAACTACACTCCCACACTCACAGAGATGAGACAGTATCAGCCTATCAGGGGGCCTGAGAACTGAAGGAATTCCCATGGAACCTTATTCACTCCCCCTCAGTGAGGCAAATATCCAGTCACACTCTAGAGCTTCCAGAGAAGGTCTGAGACCCCATTTCTCAGCAGTGTCCTTGACAAAGGTCATCTCTAATCTCGTATTCTGAGACACATTTTGCAAAAGGCTGCTTAACCATAGGAAACATTACTGCAAAGCCCAAGGATTTTGCAGCCCAAAACAACTAAAGCGAGTAGAGCTTACCTTGATACAAGGCACAATTCTAAGAACTTTCACCTCACACAACACTTTAGCATTTGTACTATTATCCTCATTTTACAGATGAGGAAACTAAGGCACAGATGGGTGAAGTAACTTGCCTGAGACTATACAGCTAAGACAGAGACACAGAAAAGCTTTCCGCTTCCACACCCCAACCAAGAAAAAACACAGTTATACCTTGTGTTGTGCCTGAAATGCTGTAAAATAAGTTTCTGCGGGTGCGTCCAGGACAACTACCGTTTGGCAGTTCTCACATCTTTGCCCAGTGCTGGAAGCAAGCCGGGTTCTGGCATTGAAGGGGGAAAGAGTCCTCTCGGAACAAGTCGCTCTGTTTCAGCACTGTTCAAGCCCATGTTGAGGCTGACAGTGCAAAGCGCAGCTCTACCGCGTGGCAAAGCCCAAAGGCATCCAGTTCCACCGGGCTCGGCCAACTTCCACACTCAGAAAATGCTCACCGGCCTCTGGCTATGAGGCACCGAGATTCACCCTAACCCCTTGGGGTCCGCCTCCCTCGCCTCTACCTCACGGTCCTCTGGCCGCGCTATTTAAAAGATGCAGCCGCCAGCACACGGGCCGGGCGGTCCCGGAACCGCGGCCGCCGCCCTGCGCGTCCAGAGCCGCGTTCCTCGCGGCGAAGTGACCGGCAGCCCCGCGAGCCACTACCAGCAGCGCCCGACGCGACGCTGACCTGTGGGCGACCCACCAAGGCTGGGGAAGACACCAAGGAAAAGGACAGGTGGCGCCTCCCTCCCCGGAAGTGGCTCTGGGAACGTTCGCCTAAGAGCTCCCAGCACCAAAGTCAGGGTCTCCGGCGCGAGCGGCCGCCGGTCCGGAGTGGCGGTGGCGCTGCCTACCTGCGCCGCGCCCAGGCACCCGAGTTGCGCTCCGAGCGCGCCGGGACCGGACAGCGCGCCGAGTCCGCTTCGGGCACCGGGACGGGTAGGGGCGACCCGGAGGTGGGGGGTGGGGGTCCAGCTCGGGGTTGTGGGTTAAGGCAGGGGAGGAGCCAGTCCCGGAAAGTGCCCGCTCCCGGGCGCCTAGCAGGGGTGTCCAGCCAGGGAGGGTCTAGCGGAGGGGCGGGGTTCGCGGCCAGCCGCCCTCACTCACCTCGGTGCTCAGCGCTGGCTCGGCCCAGAGGAGCGGGAGAGCGCACCGCGGCGACCGCGGCGGTGGCGGCTGCTGCGGGGGCCGCTCCCCCGGGCGGGGCGGGGCCGGGGGCGGGGAGCCCGGGCCGGCCACGTGGGCGGGAGGCGGGCGGGGGACCCCCTCTGGCGCCGGAGCCGGGTGGCGCGGGACCCGGACGCAGTCACGCCCGGCTGCTGCTCGGCACTCCCCCTCCGCTAGCCCCGCCGGGGTCCCTGAGAAGACTGGGGAGGGATCTGGGCCCTGAGGCATTCTCCCCCGCCACCTAATCCAGACCCTGGCGGAGAGAATTTACAGCGTCGGGGAAGGGGTGTGCCTCCCGGCCCCAGCTCTTGCGGTGAAGGCGCTGCGGACAGCCCAGAGTAGGCTCACGGGGTTAAGTATCGGATCAGGAGGGGACTGTGGCGACTTAGGGGGCTGCCCTGACGGCGAGGGCCGGAGCCTGTGTGTGGAGCCCCCACCCCGCTGCTAGGCTGACCTGGGGCGCGTCGGGTCTTGTCCAAGCCTCCCTTTCCTGGACTGTGAGGGTCAGAATGAGGACGAGCCAGAGCTGCGCGAATCCCCGCACCACCAAGCCCTCAGGAATCGCGGGGTTTGTGGGCGGGTGCTGAGCCAGAAAGAGCAGCAGCCTGCAGTGGCCTGGGTCACCGTGCGGAAATAGACGTGGGAATCCAACTAAAACTATTTTCTGCATTCATTCATTCAGTAGATCACCGCCTGCGGCCCTCAGGATCCCATACAATCAGAAATATAAAGAATGGGGGCGCCTGGGTGTCTCAGCTGGTTAAGCGCCAGCTTCTTGGTTTGGGCTGAGGTCATGATCTCACGGTTTGTGAGTTCGAGCTCCGCTGGCTGAGCGGACAGCCCCTCCGCCCCCGCCCCCTCCCCGCGCATGCTCGTTCTCTCTCTCTCTCTCTCTCTCTCTCTCTCTCTCTCTGTCTCTTTCTCAAAATAAATTGGGGACGGGCGGGGGGAGATACAAAGACTGCCCTACAGGGATGCCTGGGTGGCTCATTTGGTTGAGTGTCCAGTTCTTTATTTCATCTCAGGTCTGTGATCTCAGGGTCTTGGGG